GTCCCCAAACCTCCCCCACGAGTCCTGATCTCTCTCTTGGTCTTGCAGCCCTTTCACTGTCAGTCCAGCCTCGGGAAACCTCGGGGTTGGTGAATCCATGCAAGTGACAGTGGAATATCGCCCGCTGGAGACCGGGGATCATTCCAGACCCCTGGTGGTGCACTGCGACATAGGTGAGTGCTGGTTCCTTTCAAAGCCTCCAAGTGTTTCAGTGCTCAGAAGTGAGCAAAGAAGGGGACAAGGCTGAGCTTGTCCCTGTTCTGGGTGTGCTGTGTTGCTGTGTGCTGGTCCATCCCTGGGGGGACCCTGATGTTCTCCATCCATGGTGTTCTCCAACCAGCACCCCCACGACAGTCCTCTGCCAGCCCTCCCCACTGTCCCAGCCACCTGAACTGCCCCTCCAGCAGTACCACCCCGTCCCAGCTTTACCATTAAGAAAAGGGAAAACTAGTTAGTGTTTAGGGGGTTGAAATCATAGATGCCCTCAAACAAGGATGAGATTTTTGAAAACCTGTTTTGGTGAGTGTTGCTGAGTGGAGGAAGGAGGAACCTTGATTCTCCATTCCAGTGTGGATATACAGGGCTGAAGTTGTATTCCTGGACAGTGCTGTCTGTGATGTGTGAGGTTTCCATTTGACTCTCTCCAATGCAATGTGTCTCTAGCTCACCTCTGTCCCCTAAGCTGCTTCTCTGTTGTCTTGCCACAGACCCTTTTTCTCTTTTGCCCTCTACATATACATGTAATTTCTGTCTAAGAACATTTTCAGGTCCTCATGTTCTTTGATGACAAATCATGACAATTTTTTCCTTATTCCAATTTCCCAGGCCATCTATGCTCTCCAAACCTCTCTCATCTGCCTCCCATTTGATTTCTAGGAACCCCATTCAGTTTTTGTATAAAAGTTGCTCTGTACTTTTAGTCTTTCTCTCTGCCCTTCTTTCTTTCATTTCAAATGCTTCAGCTTGGTGTTTGAGATCAGAATGAGATCAAATATTTCTAGACTGATGTGACTGTGGGTTTGGACAGGGAGGGGATGACGGTTTTCATGGTGTTGATTTTCTAGTGGTTTGTCATATTGAGTGTTGTAGAGCATTGTGTCTTGTTTCCTCACCTTTGTCCCCTTCTGCCGTGGGCTTCACTTCCCTTGCTCCCCTGGACCTCCCTTTCTTCACACCTGTCCCCAGGAATCTTTGCTTGTCAGCAACAAGGGATTGGGAGAGACCGGAGTCTCAGGGAGCGCCTTCAGGAGAGCCTGGGCTGTGACTGAGTGGGGCTCCTTAGAGTCACCTGAATGAATTTGGTGTAGAATTACCTGTGATCTGAGTGGGTCACCTGAGCACACCTGACAAATCTCACTATAAATATTGTCACCTTGGGGCAAATCTCTACAAACACACCCCGAAATAAGGTGCTTAAGGTGGTGTCTGTGATATCCTCACACTGAACACATGGAGCTGTTGGGATTCGATCAATGTACTGATCCGTGCAATTACTTATCCAGCTAAAAGCTGGTCACTTTCTTCCATTTCCTGTGGTTTGCTCTGTTCCTTGTAATTCCATCAGTGGTGAGCTGAGCAAAGATTCCTCTTTGCTTTGTTCCAGGTAAAGACAGCCACACCAAACTTGTTGGAGAATCTGTGGACCTCAACATCGGGCTGGGCCCCTATTCTTTAAAACTCGACAAGACCTATCTCACACTGTCAAGCCACAAAACCATGGTCATCAACAACAGAAGTGACATCACAGCCCGATTCCAGTGGAAGACTTTTGCTACCGAGGAAGAGGAGTATCACCAGAAGATCAGGTTGGTCTGAAAGATGCAGTGACATACACTGCCTAAGGGTAAAACTAACATATGGCCTCAGGGGGTGCTTGTGCTTTTGAGGGGTTGAGGGTATTAGGAACAAGTAGGCGTTCCTGCAAAGTCTGCAGGGCAGTCACAGCTCACAGTAAGAAGCGACAAAGTTGCTGGTTGTTCAGCTGTCAGTTCCAGAGAGGTGCAGTTTGCCCAGAGACAGGGGGACCAACCAGGAGCACAGGAGGATTGTGGGGCCATGTCCTCCATTTTGAAGTGCTGTGGCCTCCACCTTGAACTATGTCAGTGACCTTGGAAGCAACTGTTCCTTTCTCATCCCTTGGTTGTGATCTTAAAACACTAGAATGATTTCTGCTGCAGCTGCCAAGTAATGGAGAGGTTAACTGTGCCAAAGGTCTGCAGAGAAGGCCAAAAGGAGGAAAAAAGGAAGGTGGTTCAAGGCTAGATGGTCCCCTCTCAGGGCCTCTGTTTTCATGCATATAACATGCATGAAATTTAATGTCACTGAAGAGATGCCATGCCTAAATTCATCAGCTGGCTTTGAAAGTGCTCTGGGTTGCTCTGGTGGAAGGCAGTGTAGGGAACAGGGCAGACAGGGTTGGCTTGTCCCTGCAGGTGCAAAAGGGAAGAAGCAAAGAGTGCTGCTGGTAACCTGCAGCTGACAGCCAGCTTCTTCTCCCCTTCCCAGGGAAGCCCTACAGGCACTGGGGGGGCTCCCTGATCTGTACCTGCCTCCCCGCAGCACCTCTGTGGTGGCAAGAGTCAGTTGAGGTCACTGGTGGGTTGTCCCTCAGTTTTGGCAGTGGCTTTGAGCCAGGAGGTTCTCCTGAGGGCTGCTGGCTTTCAAAACCTCCTGAGCTTGTAAGTGTGGAGGAAAACCACCTGCCCTGCGAGCAAACAACAAGTGATCCTCTGAGCCCTTTGGGACCCCATGGCTCGGGCTCAGCCCCTTGCTGGGGAGCTGCTGCTGCTCCTCCCCGAGTGCTTTGCTGCTTCTGCACTTACACTCAGCCCTGCAAAGAAGTGGCTTATTAAATGACCTGCTGCATTTGTTTCTCCCTGTGGCTGCAGGCTGTCTCACAGACTGTCCCGGCCGCCCCAGGACATAGCAAAGGATTTGATGAATGAACGCCGTGAGGAGGTTCGCCTTTACTACGACAAACTCGAGACTGAGACAGCAAAGATTCAAGCAGACCCCCTGCTGTTCTCAGACGACGTTTTCACCATTGAGCCCTTGGTAAGTGATAGCTGAGAGCCTCCTCCTCCTCCCCATCCCTGAATGAGGTCATTGGGCAGATCCCCACCTCAACTGGCTTGATGTGCCCAGAGGGAAGACCTCGGGTTTCTGGTGATGCTGCAGAGCTTGTTGCAAAAAGTATTGCTACCCTGTGGGCTGGCAGGCAGCAGGAACCTGCCTAAAGCTGAGCTCTGCTGCAAGGGCTCGATGTCAAGGGACCTTGGTGGGTGTTCTTGCAGTGTCCAGAGGGATTGGTTACTGTAGGAAGGGGCACAGCTTAGACAGGATGTGTGGGGCTTACCAGAGGTGTTGAAGCACTGTCAGTTCCCAGATTGACCTGAAGTGAAAAGAAGGCCAAATTCAGCCCAAGGTCATGGAAATGCCAATCCCTCCCTGTAACCAGGACTTAGAGCATGTCTGAGTCTCCCTTCCGGTGTCATCTCAAAGCCTGGACACAAGACCTTGAAATGGACTTTTGGAGTTCTGTTGCACACAGGGACAGAAAATCTTTTTCTGTTAATGCAAGCAAACCCCCATGTCCTTCCATCAACCAGTGCCCTGATTATGAGTACTGGCACAGTGTGAGATGAAGAATCCCCGCTGTCTGCACAGTGCAAAATCCCTC